TCTCAGCAAAGGTGGCAAAGGGAGCAGGCCTAGAGGTCAAGCTGTCTGCGAGGATGGTCCATTCAACATCAGCGGGTAGGCCGTCCTTCATTCTTGCAATGGGCAGCATCTGGATGTGCCGATGCGGCTGGCTGGCTCCCGAGTGATCTCCGCAGTTGAAAAATGCAAAGAGGCCATCATTGCTAGTCTCATCGCCGTTCTCCTGGCCAGCATTCTCCGTTGCGAGCTCGTACGCTTCGATACAAGCCAAGGTTGCAGTCAGATCGGCTTCGTCAAGAACATGAGTCTGAGGCTTGAACTCGGTGGTAGCAAGGATGAAGTGCTCAGGGACAACGGCAAACTTGTTGAGCACAAGGTAGTGGGAGGGACTGAGATGGGTGACGCGGAGAGCTGCAGGGGGGTCTGCAAAGGGGTCAAATGGCTTGATGGGCGTGGGACCCTTGGGAGGGCCTTTCGGCTTATTTGCGAGGGCAGGAGAGAAGCGAAGCTGGAACTGCAACAAATAGTGAGAATGACTGCTGTTTATAGCCAAATTCCCCAGAGTTGAATGTCTGATGAGCACTCACTGGGATGTTGTGGGCGTGGATGATGGCAACTTGGGTGGGGTAGTACAGCAATTCTCCCTCAGCGAGAGCCCTTTCAAAAGCCGTTTTCACAAGCTTCGGGAGGGCCGACGGAGCTTTGAGGGAGGCCATTTCGCAGGCAGGTTTGTCGTTTATTTGCTCCGGAAAAATCAAACAAGTGGCATCAGATTCCAGGGAGATTTGGCGTGGTTGAAAGATGAGGGCTAAACTGGAATCATGGAGCTTGAGTCTGTCGATTACTTCGATACGTGGCCCGTGCCAGATGCCGGGTTTTCAGTGTATTTCTCTCTGTAACAATTTCTCCCCGCTTGCTGCATGGGTGGTCCGCTACACCATTCCATCCACCTAGGCCAAGCCGAATCAACATCGCCAAAACTTCACTTTTTGTGATTTTGGAACTCTGAAAACTCTTCGTGGTATTCTAGACGTTGGTGTAGTCCTCCTGTTTCATTTTCCCTCTCCTCCGCTCATTCCTGCGGCTGTTTTCGCCGAGTTGCTGATGCCCCTCATCAACACAGGCATCGCCCCTTCCCCGCTGCCACCAAATACCAAACACCATCACAAACTTCATCATGGACCGACAGCAAGGGTCATGGAAGATAATTCATGGGGCTCTTTAAGAGATGGGATTTATTTATTACCACGTGGAAGATTATGATGTTTGCTGACCTTTCTTGTCCTCCATTGCAGGACTCCTCCCCCCCCCCCTCCCCGGCCATCTTCGCTCCAGATACAAAACACCAAGAATACCTCTCGCCGAGGAAAGACTAGACGATCAAGAAGTCAAGCACCCTCTCTCCCCATGTAAGCTATTCTTTCGCTGACTCTTGTGTGACGACGCGTTTCGCTGACCTTCTAGAATGGCGTTGGACCGTGGGTGGGATCCTTCCCAGGCCCCTGCCAAGAAAACATCAAGAAATCTCACGAGGATGAGCGAGAGAGGGAGAAAAACATGAAATGAGGAGTCTCTTGAAAGGTATGATTGTTTGATACTGCACATGAATGACCAGGCTGGTGGCTAATTCTGTCAGGATCGCGATCCGTAGACTTGGATCCTCCCATAACAAAACTTGAACAAAATGCCAACGAATAATTATACACAGGTGAGTACTTTCTTGAATCCTTCAAGTAATAGCGATCATCAGCTAATTCGAGTGGGAGAACAGGTTCCCTTCCGGGTTCCTACCGCCAGATGCTTGTGCTTCCCGAAATCCACGGGCCCCCGACACCCTTCGTGGGACAATGACAGAAATTTCAGCCCAACCTTTGAGCAAACTGGTAAGTCTGCCTGTTCCCTTTCTATCAACTTCATGCGGGAAAAAATTCATCTTGAAGGCCATTTGCACCGAGGAGCCATCCGCTGATCGAGAACTGCAAAGGGCAAGAGCTTCCCCGCCGCGAATGAAGGTCCCCTTGCTCCGAAAACAGATCTACAATAACCTCGAATCCGTGAGTGTGCAGAGTTTTTCTATTTCTTTCGCCTGTTCTGATCACCAAAGACAGCTCCCCTCCCCCATCTCGCTTCCCCTCCGACCGGGAATCCAGATCACGACTCTGTAGCACCGACTTTTAAGGCTCAAGATTAACCTGTTAAGATTGAAATATCCAGAGGTATGTTGACTGATCTACAAGACCAAGAATATACAGATTGCAAGGCTTGGAGCTCTGACAGAGGGTTGCACCGCAGGGAAGAACCAGATAACAAAACCTATACCCGTAGGTTGTGCCACCATCTAAGGGGAATAGTCGAATGACCGAATGCCTGACAACGAGATATGACAACTCAGGAAAAACACTAGAATCATCCAAGACAGAGAAACTATCCCAGAGTTTGAAGTAAGTCACGGCTCTAGTTCTAGGGTTGGGTGTGAAGCTGTGATACTAACGTGCCAGCAGAGCGATCGAATAATTATACTCTGGTGAGTGAGATCTCGTGGCCTTTACGGTTGCACCATTTCTAGCTAGACGATCGCTATCAAAGAGAGAGAACGTGGGGATTAGTGCTATAACTCTCTGAAGAAAACAGCCGTGCTGACGAGTCGGTCAAACAGTTCTTTCTATGAGACGATGCGCCTCAGAAAGGCCAGGACGCGAGATACCCAAACCCAACAATACAAACAGTCAAAGGTGAGTTATTTTGCTTGAAAGCCACGAAATTGGCTAGAGGAGGTTCAGTTTGGGCTTGATATGGACGTTCTTTGCTGAAATCTACGAAGGATTGACTACTACAACCCCCTCACCTCCTCCGAAGCCAATCTGTTCGCGAGTGATATTACTACAAATCCGAAAACGAGATCCTCGAATCCCTTCTCATTTCACGACATGATCCCTTACCCGAGAACTCGATCGATCTTCCTCCTCCTCCTCCCCCCTGGAGCCCGTTCCCAGCTACCGCGTCCTCCCAGGAAACGACTATAGCCATCGACACTAAAAACAACGATGGAAACTCATCATTGTCTCGAAAAGAGGCAGGAAGCTGAGTTGTTGCTGTTGAGTAACGTCGAGGGTCTTCACATGAAGAACAAAGCTTCAGCTTTGAAAAACCAAGACCCCTTGAGAAAAATGACTGAACTTGATCTAACTTTGTTTGCCCAGGTTATGTCTGTAGCGTCGAAACCGAGCGAAAGCCAGCCCTCACGGCCGAGAAAGATAATACCCAGAAAGGTGTATACAAGACGATCTAATCCGAGTCCGAAAGACTCAAGAACTCAAGAAACCCCTAACCCGAGACAAAACGAGTCGATTGAAGCTGTTGTACTGGAAGTTCCGAAGAAATACGAAGTCCCTTCCAAACGAAGGAGCAATAGCTGAAAGAACGCCGACCCCCCTCCCCCTCCATCAGCCATAGCCGCTGCCTCGAAAAGCCCCAACAAGGCCTCATCCCCCAAGACGTTTCGATTATGTTCAAGAAATCATTCAATCCATTCAGGGACCCGAATTCTCCCTTGACCTTTCCACGAGCATGAGAACCGAAAACCTCCTTTCCGACAATATCCCCATCCGCAACGGAGACCTCGAGATTCCAACCATCTCCTTCCGATGAGCCCCAAACCATTCGAGACCCTTTTTACCGATAAGCTTGCATGTTCGACTTGCTCCCCGCCCCCGTCCCCCTCTCCCTCCCCCCGATCGTTAGTTCGAGAAATCCGACAGCATCCACCCCCCGAGACGTTCCGATTATATAAGAAATAACAATGCGCTCCTTCCAAGAACTCAAATCCTCCGAGAAATAACAAAGACTCAAGTCCTGAACATGTCAGGGAAAATCTCCTCCCAACAACACTCAAACTTCCTCCCCACGACCGTCCCAAGAACACCGATGCCTTCCTTCTCCTAGAATTCGACTACATCTTTCTAGTGAGCCTCGAACGCTCAAATATCTTCCCGATTATTCCTTGCATGCTCGACTTGCGCCCCTCATGTCAGCTCCCCTCAAGCCAAGAAACTAGGACTTCACCCCGAGTGATAGAAACACCGCGATTATCAGACTCCCATAAGGTATCCTCGAGCCCCGCCCTGAAAACATGCTCCCCAGTCTTACTCATATGTCCCAACAGAACCTACGGTTGGGGAACAAAGTCCTACTACAAATGCAACAACTAAGCTCAGGATAGTCGCTCAACTATATTCCAATGTCCACAGTTATGCTTTCTTACGAGAGCAACAGCTCTCAAAGTCGCTTTGACTACATGAGTTGTGGCCAGAACGAGTTTCTGCCGCACGGAGATCCTCATCACGATGCCCCCAATGGATGAGATCATGAGAAAGAAGGCATGAGATTCACAACTTGTCCGTTGAGGCGTCTTTGGACAGTGCTCTATTGGAACTTCGACATCATGTCTCTTCTTCTGGAACCTTAGGGATGTATCAGATGCTACTTGTCACACTTCCCCTGCATTTACACAACTCGCCTCCGGTCAATGACGGTCATCCAACACAAGAGCCCAGGAAGTCCTCGGTGCCACAATTCATGAAAGATTAGCCAGGCACAAGTGTGCTCCGCGTGGTGGTGATTCAATGATTCTCAACGCTCCTGGGTCGGCGGCCGTGTCATGTTCGCAATACTCGGTCCGTGAGAACGTGGAAGTCATGGAGCCCTTCGCTACTCGCAAGTGTGAGTCCTTACTTGCTGAGAAGTGGCAATTGAAGCGAGCCAAGGGCTCGGCCCTGAAAATGGGAAGGCAACGAATGTGCAAGGCTTTTGGTAGTTCTCTTATTCTCAAAAAGAAATTAGGGGCACCTTGCCACTGGCAAATACCACATTACCAAGAAGTCTTGGGGGACTTTGTCGGAGGAATGTTTGCACACTGGCGTCTATTCACTGAGGAGCCGGGCCTGTGTTGACTCAGGGTATCTATCGTCACATACTTGGTATGAGGTAGCCAACGGGTACCACCAGCCAACTGCAAAAAAATGTGATTCCGCCCGGGCTCGAACCGGGGACCTTCTCGGTAATGACAAACTTCTCATGTTCGAAATGTTAACGAGATGCCATAACCAGCTAGACCACGGAACCGGAGCTGTTTGGTGATGCTTGCTTCTGATGGGAGACGGAGGGCAGAATATGCCTCATGTGTTCCCATGTGGGTTCTGGCCCCAAGCGTCTGAAGCTCTGTCTAAGTGTGGGCTGGGTGGATGGAGGCGATGTCCAGCGGGTGCTCCCAATTCTACGTCCACGCTTAACCTAACCCAGAGGATAAAGTTGGAGGCAGTCTGGTCTTTGGGAATTCATGTCTAGGTACCTCTAGTAAGTGGTACACGGGTGCAATGAGCCCGCCTGCTGGTTGGGATGTGAGCCGTGTTATCGAACGTCGTCTCCTTAGGTTAACCCCGACCACATCTCTCCTCAGATACGTGGTGCGGATTAAGATGTACCGACAAGGGAGATGTCCGAGTGCACAACCTTGAGGAAATCATGGATTCGCAGAACAACGATGATAAAGTTGGTAGTATGATGATTGGCCTTGGCTAATGAACAGCCCACGGCATTCTGAGTTCCAAGGGACAGCTTTGTTGAAACGTCTTACTTTTACCCCGAAGTCGGGGTGAAAGGGCAGCAATGGCTGCAGTATCGCATTATTCCGCTTTTGCCGAACATCGGGTTCAGACTAGTAAAGCTTGAAGCAACAGAGCCGGAGCGACGCGGATACGCTTGATTGCAATGAACAGAAGTGTCTGGAGCAGTTTTCTTGGGGTCGTTAATGTCATCACGAGCTTTGCCGTTGATGAGATGGCTTCTGACACTTCCGCTTCATCTTTTCATCAGAGCTACCAACACAAACGTACTCGAGATGACCAGAGATCGTCTTCTTGGTCTCAAAGCCTGCCTTCTTGGCCTTGGTAGATGGCCTTGTCGGCAGTCGTATATGTTGAGCTGTTTGTTACTTGACCGGCCGAAACACTCGAGTACTTACATTGGGCAGTCAAGGTTTTCGAATCCAGAACATATGAGGATTTTCCGGAAGATCCCCCAACGGTCTGTGCTGTGGCTGATAGTAGTGGCCCATGACGATATATAAACCCCTTGTTCATTCCTTAAGCGTCCCCCAGCCTTTATTTCACAACTCACAAGAGCTTCGTAGAAGCTTTGCACAAAGTACGCCCCCTTCCCCCCGTCTTCCTTTCCTCCACCCCCAGACACAGTCCATCCACTTGATGTCATCGGCCAGTATTGCTTTCCCTTGATTCATATTTCAATGGCTGAGAACTCAACTACCTAGGTTAAGAACTCTATCCTCACTTCAAGTCTACTGTCATGGCTGCATTCACGGTGGCATTGGGCGAAGGTGCTCGGGACTCAGATAAGGGGGCAGACTTATTCATACATTAATTGCTCTTTCCAAGGTGATATGAAGCATGTAATGTTGAACGTGTCAACAAGAGACTGCAATGCGATTGCCGTCATCCAAGTCTCTTCATTGGTAGCAGGTGCAGGCCTAATACGGAGCACAACCAACTCATGCCAGACGATTACTCCGACTTCACCTTGATGGTAATCTTGACGCATCTAGTCCAAGGTGGACGGGGTGACCCTATGACCCTGCAGTGCGGGAATATGTTATGGCCAGGCCGCAATACTTGTTGTCACAGAAGGCTTGAAACATCCATTCAAGTCTGGCCATGGTGTGCAACTAGCTTCACCACGACCTCCCCGGGTTTCTTTAGTCCCATATGTTCGAAGTAACCTCTACTGGGACTTCTGTCATTGAATCTGTATGCGGGTGTTCCCGCAGGCAGGGGGAGAGAAGGCTTACTCGTTGGCTTTGCTGGAATTTGGCACTTTCAGATGGACGGGACGACCTATGGGCACGTGCCATGATGGAAAAGGAAGATCTTGCCACAGGCGGACAACTACGAACGCACTAGAGACGTTGCAGGAGATTTTTTGCTCCTTCACTTTGTCGTGTGTGGACGGAATGATCTCTTATGCAGACACTGGCTCGGCCTAACAGTCCAAGTCGGAGGCCCTCTCTCAAGTCTGATCATGGACGAAGTCAGGAAGCCCAGGGCCCAACTAAACTATCTGAGGCGTGTCTTTTCTCCTTCTCCTTCTCTTTGTTAAGCTCTGCTCGTCAAATGGACGGGACGACCCCAAGTTGTGGGCAGTTGCCATGGTCACGTCCTAGTGTGGCGGTTGCCATTGAGTCCTCATGGGGGTGTTCTGCAAATGAAGAAAGTCAAATCGCAGCTACTTCATCAAAGAAGAGTAGTTGTGCGTTTGTCTTGTCGACACGGCAGGTGGCCAGATGACCTCCATTCTGTGCCGCACTTACTATGACAACTTCGCATCACGGACGGAGAAGCCCAGAACCCAACCAAATCATCCGAGCCGACCTGCCCTTTTTCGTCTGGATACTTCCCTAACTAACTTGTTGAGCTTTCCATGTCGCTATCAGATGTACAGAACGGCCTCCAGGTTCGGCAACTAGTTCCGACCCTGAGGGCCTCGTCCAAAAGTATGAGTTTCGACACGAGGCCACCATCATCCGTCTTTCTCTTCCATCTAACTTTACCAACTATCAAAGATACAGCTGGCTGGTCGTGTCTCATCTCTTCGGCATCCTTGTGGTGCGAGACGCGTGTTGTCGGTTCCAAAGTGTCTTTCATTGCTCTTCGCATCCAACTTACAACTCTCCCTACAACGCTTCGGCTCGGCGGGCAACCCGAGTCATTACTCTATTCCCACGACCCTCTACAACACCCACCGTAAGGATGAATCCTACAGAAGAGAGTTGTCTAGGCCAAAACACTGCGGCCTCCAGTTCCTCGGCGAACGGGCGTCAGCCAGTGTGGAATCCCTCTTCCACCAGCCCTTTGGACAACGGGCCACTCCATGGATATTATGAAAACTCCAACTATTTTCTTGACGGCAGCGGCAATTACATGTCCCAAGATGACAGTCAATCAATCCCTCGCTCCGGATCGAGCCCTATTCTCTCACCCGCCAACTCTGCCGTTGGGCCCGTACTCCAGTCCACGTCCCATCCGACATTCACATCTCAGTACCCCCTTGGGTGGTCAGCGACGTCGCAAAGTCAAGGTACCAGTGATTCGCCAGCTATACTTTCATCAACTCCAATGGAGCGGCCACACGCGGCCAGAAGGGGGCCACCTGGCACCCGCCGTTGCGATATCAGGTGGGCAAGGCCCCCTCCTCTTGACGTCGGCGCTCTACTAACTCGCCTCACAGACGCCGAAGGAACAGGATAATAAGGCCCGAGGCATGCCCAGTGTGCGAGTACCGGGCAGCGGAGAGAAGAGATGTAAATCGACACCTGCGCTCTGTGCACCCGGAAGAAGCCAGGGCACGAGGGATGTCGGTGGACAGAATCAAGTGTATTTATCTGCATTGCCCGACAACCTTTGCGAGACTAGACCACCGCCGAAGGCATCTTGAAAACGTCAACTCTCACAAAGGTTTACAGGACCTCACGTTACGGTAAGAGCCAAGAGGTCAGCAGTAGGACTTGAGGTCTCGCGTCTGGATGCGGACTGGGTACGGTACGTTAAGGGGAATTGCAGTCGATGGAAGGGTATGATGGGCAAAGCGTATCATGATTCAATATTCACTTGGGTGTCTATGCCTCATTTGGGATATTAGTTCATGTACCCAGCTGCCATTCTTTGTGAACTTGGGATACCACCGCACCACACTTCCTCGGTGACGTGTGAGCCCAGTCGTTCAAGACCCATCTTCACGCCCGGCTTTACAATGTCATTTTCCAGTGTTCGCCCATCAACTCCTTTCCCCAGGAGCTGTGCTTGTCCGTCTTGTCCAGCACAAAACCAGCCTTGCGGTAGATTCTCCGCGCGCCGACGAGATCGCTCTGCGTCCACAGCCCGATGGCGTCGTATCCCGCTCCCCGCGCAAAGTCGACGCATTGTTGCACGAGCCTGGTCCCGACGCCTTCTCCGCGCGCGCTCTCGTCGACGAGCAAGAGGCGGATTTTGGCCGTGTTGTTCTGCTCTGGGTCTTTGACGAGCATGATGCAGCCCATGAATTTTTCGGCTTTCTCGGCGATCCAGCATCGCTCCAGGGCGGGATTGAAGTTGTCGAGGAAGTCGGCGGTGATTCGGGCGCACAGCGCTTCGAAGCGTTGGTCGAAGCCGAAGTTGTTGTGGTAGAAGACGCCGTGACGCTGGACGATGATGCCCATGTCTCCAGGGCGGTGTTCCCGGTACGTTACGGGTGATGATGATTCCATTGGGGGAACGAGTGATTGGCGATTTAGATGTGTATGCAGGAGGACCAGATGCGATGCAATCTGAGCATTTATTACGCGACGTCCGTTTATAGTCAGATGCAGCTTACACTTAAACTAACAAGATCGTGGGGCCCCTTCGACATGTTGTCGGACAAAGGGCGCATTAGTGGATGCTGATAGCCAGATCCTTCTATGAATATTTTTTTTATTCTTCTCCATCTCAACTTGTCCGTCCCGTTGTCAACCAATCGCTACCGCTACCAAGACATCAACTATGGGCAGACATGGATAGCCGTTTTGCGCAGGGCGTATTCTATCATTCTCCATCAATGCTCCAAGGCGCACAACGCCGCAAATAAGCCAGCTACGCAGGCCTCACCAAGACGAGTGCCCCCCATCGATGACAAGATTGCTCCCCGTCATGTAGCTGCTCGCGCTCCCGAGCAGAAACAGCGCAGCGCCCTTGAACTCGTGCACCTCGGCCAACCTCCCCATCATGATCTCCCTCTCCCATTCCTCGCGAAGACCCGGCACCTCCTCAAAGTTCTTGGCCACCATGGGCGTCAAGATGTGTCCCGGGCTGATGCAGTTGATCCGGATGCCGCCCGTGCCGTCCTTCTTGATCGGGCTCCATTCCATGGCCAAGTTGCGCGCGAGCTGGATCACGGCCGCCTTGGTCGAGTTGTACACGGGCGACACGAGGCCCTTGTTGGCTTCCATGCCCGAGATGCTGGCGATCAGGCATATGCTGCCCCGGCTCTTGTACTTGAACATCTGTCGGGCAGCCGCCGTCGCGGTGCGGAGGACCCCC